AAGTTCTATGAGAGTTGGGATTTCTCTTTGTTTCCTTTGCTCCTGTATTCTCACTGTCTGGAAGAGTGCATGACACATAGGACTCAATAAATATTTGTTGAAAGTACAAATGAATGGAACCAAATCAGTGATTTTTAAGAGTGAGAATTACAAGTAAGGTAGGTTCTCCCTCAGTTGAGAGGTATATGGCAGCCAACATATCTTTGTCTTACAGATCCTCTATCCTCAGATTTTTCTTTCATGTTACATATATAAATTACATTTTTACAAACCCTTACTAACTTAGGACAACTATGAGATGGATTGTTATCGCCAACAGGATAGAATTGACCTATAGAGCTGGCTGGTGTTAAGACAATTGTTGATATCCTACGGATTTGTAGAATTGGGCTTATGAGGACTTTCCCATCTAACATCCCAATAGATTCTAAATCAGAAAACCAGAGACCACTGTTACATGGCAATAAGTTGCTTGTACCTTGTTGTCATCTTTTAAAACTCACAGTTGACTGAGAGAAGCTCTTTTCTTTTGAAGTTTTCAACCTCTGAATTGTAAAATAAATTAACTGAAGGAAAAATCCTCATTAAACTTTAATTATTGACATTGAGTACTGATTAAAAAAAAAACCCTAAAAAATATTCATCCTTTTGATCCCTTAATTCTAAGAAGAGATTTCTAGCTGAAACCCTTGCTGGCACCTCAGCTGCACGTGTATGGGAATTTTAATTAAACTCCCTAAAAGACAGCGCCTCTGTGTAAAATATGACTAATTTCCGTACACATCTTCATAAGCCACTTGCTTAACAGTATTTATCTTAATGGGGACATTCAAATCATACATTTGTAACCAACATCAAGTGGAATTCAGTTGTACTTAAATAAACACAGAGCACCAACTTTAATTCTGAGCCAGTCTAAAAGAAAATCTGTCACAGCTTTAAGACTGGTGCCTCTGAGCATTTTATAGAAATTTCTTTATTAAGGCACTCTATTGCCTCATTTTTTTGAGCTGGCATATTGGTCTTACCTGGAGGATACATAACTGACCAGGAAATCGCTTCGTGATTATCAGACAGTGATTGCTGAAAAGCAATAAATGGGATTTTTTTTTTCCCTCAGCTCTATGGTTAGTAGCCTTAGACAGCTCAAGTACAACAGTCCCTTCTGATCCAGCTAGGGAAGAATGAAGGGAAATGCAGCCTGTGTTCTCAAGGAGATTCTGATTCTTCTATTACCTGCCATTAGGAAAAGTACATTTTATTAAATCCAGAGTTGTCCAGTAAATAGGGAAAGTAAGTGAGATTTAGAGATCCTTCTAAGGTGTGTGTAGAGCAGCTATTGATTTCAAAGTAAGTGAAGAGAACCAAGGGCAAGACAGCATTCTAGGAACTTTCGTCTCCATCTATGTGACCTTGAATAGACTGGATATTTTTTTTCAAGCAAATGAAGATTTGTTATATTCTAACTCACAGAAGGAAGAATGGTAAGCTGAAACTATGAAATAGGATGATAGAAAAATTGAAAATATACAAAATGATAATCACTGTTGATTGAATTTGCCTATTTGACAAGAATGATAATCATATAAGAACCTAAAAACAATTCACTGCCTACAAGAAATACACTTTTAAACAAAACAGCAAACAACAGAAATGCTGAACTAATTGAAGTGACATAAAAATATATGCCAGGCAAATGCTTAATGAAATCAAGCATGCATATCGATATTTATATTAATATTAGAATAAATTGAATTTGAAGTACAAAACCTCTATTTATATAAAGAAGTATATTTTAATATGATAAAAAGGATAATTCACCTAGTTTGAACTTATGAGAACTAAGCAGCATAGCCAAAAAAATACAAAACTTCGTGGAAACACAGAGAAACCAGGAAGGTAGATTTAATGTGAACTTCTATTCAAAACTGAAAATATTAAAAATGAAAAAATATTCAAACAATGACATTAATAAGCTTGATCTAACACGTATCTGATCACACGTGTGTGTGTGCTTATGCGCACACAGAGAGAAAGAGGAAGACAGACAGAGATGTGGAGAGAAAGAGAAAGAGAACTGTTTCTATGCACACAATGAATACTTGAAAAATTCTAGATCAGAGGTTAGAAAATCTGTTCTATAAAAATTCAGATATGTGATAAATATTTTATGCACTGTAGGTTATAGGGTCTCTGTCACAAATACTTAAGCACCACTATAGTACAAAAGCATCCAGAGTCTTTACCTAAATGAATGAGCACAGCTGTGTGCCAAAAAATGCTTACTTATAAAAACAAGCAGCCAGGTAAGTTAACTCTACAGGCCTTAATTTTCAACTGGACCTCTGTTTCAGATCATAAAACTTTTTCTTTCCTTATCGTTATTTTGTATTTCAATAGATGTAGGGGGTACAAGCAGAGTTTTGTTATGTGGATGAATTATATAGCAGTGTAGTCTGTGCTTTTATTGTACCCAGTACTTGAATAGCAAACAGTCTGTATGACCACATGTACCCACAGCTTAACCTCTACTTATAAGTGAGAACGAGAGGCATTTGTTTTTCCATTCCTGAGTTACTTCACATAGGATATTGGTCTCCAGATTCATCCAATTTGCTGCAAATGACATTATTTCGTTCTTTTTTATAGCTGAGTATTCTTGTTCCACTCTTAGAATGATGGACATGTAAGTTGATTCCATAACGTTGTGATTGTGAATTGTGCCACAATCAACATAAGTGCGGATACTTTTTGATATAATGGTTTCTTTTCCTTTGAGTAAATAGCCAGTAGGGATCTACTGCAGGATCAAATGGCAGATCTACTTTTAGTTCCTTGAGAAATTCCCATAATGATTCCCATAGAGGTTTTACTAATTTACTTTCCTATCAACAGTGTATAAATATTCCTGTTTTGTCACATACATGCCAACATCCATTAATTTTTAACTTTGTCATCAGGGCCATTCTGATTGGAGTGAATAATTTTTCATTATTTTTTTAAAATTATGTTTTATTGACCTCATTTATACACACACAGAGGCACACACATAACTAAAGTAGAAGTTAGAAATTAAAAGTTTTAAAAGTTGTAGAAGTTAGCAAACTTGCTCTCATATCATTCATTTATTTAAAAGGTCATACTGGAATTTATGAACTATTTAGAATTGAATAAGAAAATTATACACATAAAAATGTAGATCTCATCTTTTAGATGTGACATAAAAAGGATTAAAAAAGTTTTTGAGTTCTGGGTGTTGTGGCTCATGCCTGTAATCCCAGCACTCTGGGAGCCTGAGGCAGGTGCATTGCCTAAGCTCACAGGTTCAAGACCAGCCTGAGCCAGAGTGAGACCTGCCTCTAAAAATAGCTGGGCTTTGAAGCAGGCACCTGTAGTCCCAGCTACTTGGGAAGCTGAGACAAGAGAATTGCTTGAGCCCAAGAGTTAGAAGTTTCTGTGAGCTCTGACTCCATGGCACTCTACGGAGGGTGACAAAGTGAGACTCTGCCTTAAAAAAAAAAGTTTTTGAAAATATTAATAAACTTGTTAATGCCTCACTAAAACTTAAAACAAGAGTACAAACAAATTTCCAATGTCAGGAAAGTAAGAGCCTTAGCACTACAGGCCCTACTGACAGTAAAATGATATTAATTGAAAAAAGCAACTTTATTTCAATAAATCTGAAATCTTACGTTAAACATTCAAAAGAATTACACACAATGAGCAACAGGGTTTATCACTTCACACCAAATAGGACGGCTATAGAAAAAAAGAAAAAAAGACAGACAGTAACAAGTGTCAGTGAGAATGTGGAGAAATTGGAACTTCCCTTAACTACTGCTATAAATGTAAAATGATCCTTCTACTTAGGACGACATTCTGGAAATTCCTCTGCGGGTTAAAAATAGAGTTGCCATTTGACTCAGCAATTCCGCAATTCCACTCTTAGGCATATACTCAGGGGAGCTGAAAAGATATGTTTACACAAAAGCTTACACGTTCATGTTCATAGCAACACGAGTCACAATAGCCAAAATGTGTGAACAAGCCAGATACCCATCAGCCAATGAATAGATAAATAAAAGCATTTTATTCATATGATGGAATATTGTTTAGCCATAAAAAGAATGAAGTTCTAAGGAGAGATATCAGCAACATGGTATAATAAGAAGTTCTAGATCCGTTGTCCCACAGGAACACAAATTTAATGATAATACAAGGGACAAAATACCTTTACCAGAAGTCCAGAATCTGGTTAAGAAGTTTCAGTATCCTAGAAGAGCCCCAAACCCTATACCATTTGCACTGAAATGGCATCATTGTAACCACAAAGAAAATAGCTGTAGTAGATCCATAAAAAACAGAAAGTAATGAAAGAATATCCCCACAAAACAAGTGCAAAAGAAGCACAAGCAGACAGTAAGAGAGGAAATGTGGGGCACATGAACTACGAAACCCAGCAAACTAACTGCCGTCATGTTGAGGTCACAGACCTCCAAATCAAGGAAAAGAATAAGGGTCTTGCACGCTGAGACAGTGACAAAGTAGCAGACTACAATGACAGGAAATGACCTGGGAATATACAAGGAACAGAAATTCTTTTCTCCTTTCCTTCTTGGGACTCCAAGTTTACACTAGCATTATTAGGACAATTGTATTATGATAATTTAAACACTATATCAGTAAATATACGTCAAGTTGCAAACAACTAATATAAAGACTTTTGAAAGAAAAACATGCTTCATTACTTAAATTTTATCAAACATATTAACTTAAAGGATGTTCAAAGTAGCTAGAAATCAGTTAGTCAAAAAGTAGTGGTTCATTTCCACTAAGTAAAGCAGGTTAAGACATAGACATTGTCTGGGCGGCACCTGTGGCTCAGAAGGGTAGGGCGCTGGCCCCATATGCTGGAGGTGGTGGGTTCAAACCCAGCCCCGGCCAAAAAAAAAAAAAAGACATAGACATTGTCGGCGAGCTCTCTGCTTGCTTCTCTCCAGCTTCTTCCTGCTCACTACTGGGCACCGCTCTCTCCGGCGCTGTAGATACAGCCGCCGGGCCGGGCCCTCGAGGCCTCCGGCACCCAGCCCCAGTCCACGTTCCCACCGCCGCTATCCAGGCAATTCGCTGCTATTCCCATGGGTCACATGAGACAGATGAAGAGTTGCATGCTCTCTGGGTGACATACTTCAACAAGCCAGATATAGATGCCTGGGAATTGCGAAAAGGGATGAACACACCTGTTGGCTATGATCTGGTTCCAGAACCCCAAATCATTGATGCTGCTTTCCAGGCATGCAGAACATTCAATGATTTTACTAGTGCAGTTCGCATCCTAGCGGTTGTTAAGGACAAAGCAAGATCTCATTACAAAATCTACCCCTATGTCATTCGGGAACTTAGACCAACTTTAAATGAATTGGGAATTTCCACTCCAGAGGAACTGGGCCTTGACAAAGTGTGAACCCCATGGATGGACTTCCCAAGGACTTATTGATAATACTACTTGATTGTAAATAGTCACCAGGAAATACTGATGATAACATATTACCTTATTTAAATAACTTTTCCTTTATTTTTTTTTCACATTTTTTTATTTTTATTTTTTTTTAGTTTTTCTTTATTGAGTACCAAACCATAATGGTAACTTGGGCTTTAATAAAAGGGAAATGAGTTTGAACTGAAAATAATAATAATAATAAAAAGAATCAACTTTAGACAATATTAAAAATAAATTCTGAAAAACACATACTTTAAACATACTTACAATGGTATATTTGAATAGTAATGAATTACTTGGATATAATTAGTAACCCAGGAATGTTAATCTATATAAGTAAAAGCAAGACACATGTCAGAAGAGGGACCTTAGTCAGATGAGAGACTAGGAGGTCCCCAACTCTTGCCCCCAATATACATCAATTTTATAATTTTCTATGGATAAGGATGCATTTGTAATAATTTTGGAATCCAAAGAAGAAGTTAGAGCACCATAATGGAGCACAAAAAACAAGATAAAAAAGAATTTACAAGGGTCAGAAAAATGTTTCACCCTGTCTAAAGCATACATCCCCCAAATAGCACATGTGCTCACTGTGAAGTGGGTACTAAGCTATGGCTATGCATAGTTGCACAGAGTTGTGTAATGAACATAAGGTGGCAGGGGTTGAAGAATGAAAAATGTCTTCTTGTATATAATGTACACAATTCAGTGATGGGTACACTAAATACCCAGAACTCCCCACTGTACAATACATTCATGTAACAAAACTCAACTTGTATCCCCCTATTGATACACAAATAATTAAGGATAACAAAGATGTAGAGAAATTGAAACACTGTACCCTGTTGGTGGGCCCATAAAATAGTGTAGCCAGTATGGAAAATGGTACAGTGGTCTTTCAAATAAATTAAAAACAGAGTACTATATAATCCAGCTATCCCACTCAAGGGTATATATCCAAAAGAATTGAAATCAGGCCGGGCACGGTGGCTCACACCTGTAATCTCAGCACTTGGAAGACTGAGGCAGGTGTATTGCCTGAGCTCACAAGTTTGAGACCAACCTGAGCAAGAGCAAGATCCTGTCTCTAAAAAACAGCCGTGCACTGTGGCAGACACCTGTAGTCCCAGCTATGTGGGAGGCAGAGGCAAGAGTTTGATGTTGCTGTGAGCTAAGATGCCGTGGCACTCTACCAAGGGTGACCAAGTGAGACTTTGTCTCAAAAAAAAAAAAAAAAGAATTGAAATCAGAATCTTGAAGAAATATATTAACTCTCATGTTTATTGTAGCATTACTCACAATAGCCGAGATATTTATACAACCTAAATGTCCACTGGTATAGATAAATGGATAAGAAAAACATGGCGTATACATCCAGTGGAATATTATTTAATCTTATTCCAAAGGAAATCCTGTTATATTTCACAACATGGGTTTACCTGAGGGACATTATTATACTAAGTGAAATAAGGTAGTCGTAGAAAGACAAATACTACATATTTCCACTTTTATGACATGGCTAAATTAGTACAACTTATAGAAACAGATAGTAGAAAGGTGATTTCCAGGGAGGAGGAGTTGCCATTCAAAGGATATAAATTTTCAGTTATGCAAAGTGAGTAAGTTCTACAATCTGCTGTATAAGACTGTGCTTGTGGTTAACAATCCTATATTATGCACTTAAGTATTTGTTAATAAGATAGATCTCCTGTTAAGTGTTCTTACTGCAATGTGATAATTAAATTGAATTTAAACAAATGATGTCCCAATACCTGCTACAACATGGAGGATCCTTGAAAACATTATGCTAAGTGAAAGACGCCAGAAAGAAAAGGCCACACATTGTCTGATTCCATTTATGTGAAATATTTTAATAGGCAGACCCATGGAGACATAGAATAGATAAGTGGTTTCCAGGGGCTGGTGTGAGGAACTAAGCAGTGTGACTCCTAACAGGTATGGAGAGTCTTTTAGGGTGACGAAAATGTTCTCAGATTAGATAATGTTGACGATGGCTTTGAGTAGTCTAAAACCACAGAACCATACACTTTAAATAAGTTTCCTTGTTTTGTTTTGTTAGAGAAGAAATAGAACCCACAGATAGGTTTAGGTCATTAAATACACTTTTAAAGGGATTTTCTGTTTGAGAATGGAAGGAAGTAAGGGGTATCTCTAACTCTTTAAAATAACCCAAATATAGCAGAGAAATAAATAAGGGAATAAAGTTCAATATTGGAAAAATCTAGGAAATATTTCTTTTCTTTGTTTTTTGCATTTTTTGGCCCGAGATTGGGTTTGAACCCGTCACCTCCGGCAGGAAATATTTGAATCTATAAATGCAAAATAGGAGAAAAATCTGCCCCCCAAATAATGTATATATAAATACCCTAGATAGAAGAATCTGAGAAAGGATACTAGTGACTACACATCTCTGAAATCTCCAGGAGATTACACTTTTCTCAGATGATATGTAATGTGATATTTTATTCAAACAATACAGATAGGGTACTTGGACTGGCAGCAGGTATTTATATTGTCCTGGGTTGTCCCTAGAAGCACAGAAGACTGTATTTTTAAGAATGAATCTGTTGGTGCATGTGGGAGAGGTGACTGTAGTTAACACCAGCTTCACTTGGCCTACCTGTGACTGCCAACGCAGCTACGATGGGCAGGTCTTGTGTATGCTTCCTGTACGCTACCTCAAGTGCTCGCCAAAACGCTCTTCTTTCTTATTCAAGTCTTTATCTGAAGTTAAAAGTTATTATTCAGTTAGTGCACAGTGTAGGTCACAAATGTTGTGAAGTTAATTGTCCAAGGGAAAATGTTCCAACAATGATGGGAACAATTGAGAGATAATTGCCTGAACCTCAGTCTTTTAGAGGGACAACTGTGAGGCATATTCTACACAATTCTTTTCAAGGTCCCCAATGGGACTGAGTCCCGTTTCCCATTCTAACAACCAGCTCAATAATGTACCCCTAATTTACCCCCCTTCACTGTCTTACTTTCCCAGCTCCTACATTCAAGTAGCTAAGGATTATCTCTCAAACTTCTTGCACTCACTCCTGGGATGCAAAGAAGAAGACTAATACTTTGTATCATCAATATCTCTAGAGCGGCCAATGTCTTCACGAACCTGAGAGAAACTGAAGCTACAAAAGAAAAAAAAAAAAAAACACGTATACACATCAACACACATGCGCACATAGACAAAGCTGTAAATATTACAGAAAATTCTTTCTGTTTACAAACACTTCCTTTGCAATTTCCCCAGATAGCCTAGAAAAAGATGGCCCAGGAAAACTGTTTTTCATTCAAAGATGTGTTCACAAAAGGGAAGGCCAAAATCAGTAAAAAGGACACTGAGGGAAACAAGAATGGCACAGGAAAAAAATATCAAAAGATTGCTCACTGCTAAAGGGTGCCAGAGACAGGATTGTTAAATTTCATCAATTTCCATGTTCCATAATGATAGCCAAGGTTACTTGGACCAACTCTTCCTAGGAAAACAATTAAAAATTGCTGATGGACGAAACATTAATAGTAGCAATAACTGGTGCGGCAGGAAGGAACTATCCATCTCCATATAACAAGATAGATTCAAAACCTAGGGTCTGTTTATGAAAAGGAATTTAACAAATTACTCTCTCTAAATGGATCTGAGATCTGGGCATGATGGCTCATGCCTGTAATCATAGCATTCTGGGAGGCCGAGGTGGGTGGATTGCCTGAACTCCGGAGTTCAAGACCAACCTGAGCCTGAGCGAGACCTCATCTCTAAAAAAAAAAAAAAAAAAATAGCCAGGCACTGTGGCAGGCACCTGTAGTCCCAACTACTTACGTGGGAGGCTGAGGCAGGAGAATCACTTGAGCCCAGGAGTTTGAGGTTGCTCTGAGCTGTGATGCCATTCCACTCTACAGAGGGTGACAAAGTAAGACTGTGTCTCAAAAAAAAAAAAAATGGATCAGGGATCCCATAGGACTATATCTTTATGATAAAGGTGAAATAGAAGTAAACTTGTCCCCATATCCAAAATGAATAAATTCACTTAAATGATGTGGTCAAAGCAAGGAAGAAAACAGCAAAAATTTGTGTCCTTGAGAAGTCATGGCCACAGAATGGCCATCACACATATTGGTGAGCCAGTTCCACATGCTTGGATAGTATAAGAAGCCTCAACACCTGAATTCGTTTGCGGGTAGGTCCAGATTAGCAGCACCTGGCAGAAGAAGCCAACCTCATTCTAACCCTCAAAGAATGCACATAAATCTTTTCATATTTAGAATTTTACAATTTGTTTCATAAATGAGAATGGACTGTAATTTTAATATCTTTTTATATACTTTATTTGTATGGTGCTTGCATCAAAGTTCTACTAGCCTCTTGGAATAAGTTTAGTACACTTCTTTTTTCACTATCTTATAGAATTCTTCATATAGATTGGAGTGCTCTGTCCAGGGGGAAAATATGGACTTAGTGTTTTATCTGTAGGAATAAGCCCTCATTTCCTTTAATAGTTATAAGACTATTCATATTACATAATTCTTGTATGACTCTTATTACTAAGTGATATATTGATAAAAATATGTCCATTTGATCTGTGAAAAGTGTTCGTCATATTCTCTCATAAGCTTCTTAATCTATACTGTGTAGATTAAGACTTAACATATCTTCCCTGAGGTTTTCGTGCTTTATTTCTTTTTAAGAATCAAATTTTGGCTTTATTTTACTTTATTAATTTTAACTGCATCATTATCTATTTTAACTTTTTAGAAGTTGGTGTTTCTTTTCTAATTCTGAATTTAGATACATAGCCCATTAATTTTCAGGTTATTATTTTGTAATGGAAACATTTAAGTCTCCAAGTTCCTATTGAAATACCAATTTGGGTGCTACTCACAAGTTTAATCTGTAATATTTTCAATATCATAAGTATGTACTTTACAATTTCCAATATGGTAATCCGTGAGTTGCCAACAATTATTTATATTTATTGATTTTGTTGCC